GGGGGAGGGAGGGAGGGAGCGGGGCGCCTGCTTCGCGGCCTCCTGAGGGAGAAGCGCGGGGCCCGAAGGGCGGTGTGGGTTTGCCTCCCTGGCCACCGCTGGCGACGGGCGGCGGAGCCCTTCGGGACTGACCCCTCGACCGGGGCCTTTCCGTTTGCCGCCTCGTGGAAGGCACCCTCCCGGCCGCTCTACCGCCGCCTTCCCGGGGCTGGCCCGCCGGGTGGTGGCGCTTGGCCTGGGACCGCGGTCCGTGCCTGCCTCCCTTCCCGGAATAGGATTTGGAGGCCTCCTGAAGCCTCTGGAGGGGCTGTGTGTGTGTGTGTGTGTGTGTGTGTGTGTGGCGGCCCGGAGCTCGTCTTTAGTTCCTTGTTACAGCGGAGCCCTGGACTCCACCGGGTAGGGGACACCTTGGGCAGCAGAAGGAGCTCCAAAGGCCTTTTAGGAGTTCCGGCTACTTTACCAGCTACGATCCTGTTTGGGTGTCTCGGGCCTTGGGTGTCCCTGGTTACTTAAGGGGCCGCCGGTGTCGGGGTGAGGGGCTAACCTCAGGCTTTGGGTGGGGCAGATTGTAAGCTCCAGCCGTTGCTGTCCAGGGAGACCGGGCTGTGGCACTCAGGCTCCCCACCCCACCCCACCCCCAGTGTCTCAGGCTGCCTATGTTCCTTCCTAGGCCGACTGTGGGGTGTTAGCTTGAACCTCTAACCCCTAGAGTAGCCAGCCGAGAGGGAGCCTGACTGAGTGCTGTCCTGACAGAAGCTGCAGAAAAGCGGCTTGCCAGTCTTTGAAGCTGGTGATATGGAGGAGGGAGGCTAGCTGATGGCGACTTTTCCCCCACAGGTGCTGTTGGCAGCAGCCGTCTGCACGAAAGCTGGCAAGGCCATTGTCTCCCGCCAGTTTGTGGAGATGACCCGGACGCGCATTGAGGGGCTGCTGGCAGCCTTCCCGAAGCTCATGAACACGGGGAAGCAGCACACCTTTGTGGAGACGGAGAGCGTGCGCTATGTCTACCAGCCCATGGAGAAGCTGTACATGGTGCTGATCACCACCAAAAACAGCAACATTCTGGAGGACCTTGAAACTCTCCGGCTCTTCTCCAGAGTGGTGAGGATTGTGGCAAAATGTGCCTTGGCGCAGAGAGGGGCGGTGCACTGGGGGGTGCCTGTTGCACTCGTGGTTGGGTAAGGCGTACAGATGCTCTCCAAGGATGACAATTCAGACTCAGCCGTGTTCAGTTTGCAGGAGCTACAGTGAGGGGTTGGATTACTGTTGGCGTGGAAGGATATGTGGGAAGGGCCTCACTTCCTAGAAGGGAAAGTGAATGGCCCTTTATAGTCACAGGCTTTTTGGTTGGGCCTTGAGGTTGATGTGATCCAGATGAAGGCCTTGAGAGTGTTGGTCTGCGCAAAGAGACCTTGCCATTTTGTCTGTAGTGTGTGTTGTACGTGTGTGCATGGGATGGGGGTGGTGTCTTTTTGTTACATAAGCTTGCTAATAGATTGTAGACTGTGCTGTCTATGGTAAAATTAAGAGCTCTATCAAGAAAAAGAGAGGAAGTGTTGAAGAAAAAGGTGTTTTTGTTTCCTTTTAAAGTAATAGGGTGGAAGCTGCTGTAGCAATTTCTTGTTAAAGGCAATTGGCAGATTCAGAAGAAGTGTTTGTGCTTGCCTCTATCGATAGATACATTTTGCCTCTTTGTAAAGACATTTCAGTAAATATACACTTGCAGACTAAACATGCATGTTTTTTCAGTGGCGATTCACAACGTAATTGAGTTGGTTCTGTTATTTTGTAACTTTATAGTGTAATTGTCTAAAGCAGTAAGAAAACACTTCCTATTTCTCATTTATTGTCTCCATCCAGATTCCTGAATATTGCCGAGTGCTGGAGGAGACTGAGATTTCCGAACATTGCTTCGATCTAATATTTGCCTTTGATGAGATTGTTGCCCTTGGCTACCGGGAGAATGTCAACCTGGCCCAGATCCGCACTTTCACAGAGATGGACTCCCATGAGGAAAAAGTTTTCAGAGCCGTCCGAGAGGTAGGCCAAGAGGTTTTTGTGCCCTATGTATGTTGCATAAACACGTAAATGTTCTGATTCTAGAACTTTTGGTGAAGGCTTCCAATTTCCTTGTGCTGCTTTTAGGACATGGCAGTTCATATTTTTTCCCTTTTTACCCTCCCCCCGCCTTAATTTCCAGACCCAAGAGCGCGAGGCCAAGGCTGAGATGCGCCGGAAAGCCAAGGAACTGCAGCAGGCACGCAGGGATGCTGAACGCCGGGGAACCAAAGCTCCAGGCTTTGGTGGCTTTGGCAGCTCTGCTGTGTCTGGAGGCTCTACAGCCGCTATGATCACGGAAACCATCATCGAGACTGAGAAACCGAAAGTGACTCCTGTCCCAGCCAGGTAAAGAAGTCACTTAGCTTGCTTGGATTCCCAGAGGGAAGAGATGAGACACGAGGCCACTGGTGTGAACGCAGAGAGAGAAAGGGGGCTCTGATATTTGGCCTGAGCTCTTGTTTTCCAAAGCAGTCATCTTGGCAGCAGGGTGTTTCCAAGGATCATTTGTTGTTAGGCTGTAGTTTTGTGGCTCAGCTGAACTCTGCACTTTACTGGCTGCAAAGCATCAGCGGTGTGGCTGTAACAGGACCTAGGCTTGTGTGTGTGATTTCTGAAGAGCCAGTTCAGAAGGCAAGGGGGGGGGTGTTGGCTTCCCACAGCAGAAGTTGCACGCGCAGTCCGCTGGTCTCTCCTTGGCCGTGTCCCAGGTTTCAAGGAAAGTTTCCAAAGGGCTGTGGTTTCTTCTCTCAGGCCATCCGGCTCCAACAAGGCACTCAAGCTCGGGGCCAAAGGGAAGGAAGTGGATCATTTTGTGGACAAGCTGAAATCAGAAGGAGAAAACATAGTCACCTCTTCTGTGGGGAAGCGGTCTTCGGATGCAGCTGCAGTCCTCGCTCCGCCCATCAATCTGGAGAGGTAGGAGTTTCTGTTCCGTGTCAGCTGAGGTTTGGGGTGATTCCTTGGTCTTTGAGTACCCAGTGCAATCCTTTCTTCGGGAGGGGTGGGAGAGGATCTTGGAGGATCTTCCTGAGACCTAGAGCCATGTCTCAATTTTGAAGTAGGCCATCTTGGGGTACATGCCAGTGGAAAGTGAGATCTTCAGAGTTTTGTTGGGGTTACTGTTTATACATTTGTTAAGTCGTTCTTGCATGGCGTAAGCTTAAGGTGGTATATGAGGTTCACTTCCTTCCTGCGCTGTCCTCACAACAACTCTGTGAAGTATTTCAGGATGAAAAAGTGGGACTGGCTTATGGTCATCCAGTGTGGTTTATGACCGAGTACAGATTTCCACCCGAGTCGTGCTCCAGCCACTGCATTTGATTGGCTGTTCACTGCATGAGAGGTGGGAGTGATGCATAGCCCACTCAGGGAAAGGTGTGCTACTTGGACAGAGCTGCATTGTATTTGGGGAGGGGTCCCAGAGTCTTCCCCGTGCTTTGAGTGATTCTGTGGCTGATGTAAAAGGAAAGGTATGTGCCCCCACCCCGCCCCACTGCTTGTGTCGTGACCCTTGTGGTTTCATATCTAGTGTGCACATGAAAATAGAAGAGACCATCTCCCTGACCTGCGGCCGGGATGGAGGACTACAGAACATGGAGCTTCATGGCATGATTATGCTGCGGATCCTGGATGAAAAGTTTGCCCGCATTCGTATCCATGTTGAGAACGAGGACAAGAAGGGAGTGCAGCTCCAGGTAGGTATATGTTGGCTGAGAATTTGGGAGCATGTAGCTACAAGCCCAAGTAGGGAGGCATCGTTGGCTCGTATCTGGCCTTGCTTAAGGAGCCTCTAGGGGTTATCTGTTCTCTGTTTTGCTGTTTCTGTAGAGAAATTACTCCCCCCCCTTTTTTTAAAAAAGGTCTGAAGTAGCAGAAAAGCATAACCCAGCAAATACCACTAGATTCCCAAGGATACTTTGCACCCTGGAATATCAGGGCCTATTAGCAGTGGGGCTGGTGGGATCATCTTCTAGCCTGCATCACCCCTACCCTCACAGACTGTCAAGTGCAAGAAGCATAGTTAAGTGGTGGCCAACAAAGAGGGCAGAGGAATATTTGGCGTTTGGGGTTTTGTGGCTGAATTTGTAATCCTGTTCTTCCCCCCCCCCCTTTTCCCTTCTTCAGACTCACCCCAATGTGGACAAGAAGCTTTTTACAGCTGAGTCCATGATAGGCCTGAAGAATCCAGAGAAGTCCTTCCCTATCAACAGCGATGTGGGGGTACTGAAGTGGAGGCTACAGACGACAGAGGAGTCTTCTATTCCCCTGACAAGTGAGTAGGAGGGTGCAGCCCATAAGGGAATGGGGGCCACATAGATAACCCCAGCTGAAGGGAACGGGTAGGGCCCCTGGGCCCGTCCACCTCCCTGCGGAAGAGCCCTGTGTGGATGGGGCGGAGTGATAGAACTAACGGTAGGGCGGGGGCTTCTCTCTTCAGTTAACTGCTGGCCCTCGGAGAGCGGCAGCGGCTGTGACGTCAACATTGAGTATGAGTTGCAGGAGGAGAGCCTGGAGCTGAATGACGTGGTGATCGCCATCCCTCTGCCGTGAGTAGGAGGGGGTCTCTGTTCCCCAGGGTCCTTTTCCCACAACCCGCCAGCTAAGCTTTTGCTCAGCCACCAGCCTGGGTGCCCCTGATGGGCGCATGGGAAGAAGTGTGCTGATTCCTTGCTTCTGGCCTAGGCCTGGCGTGGGGGCTCCCGTGATCGGAGAGATCGACGGAGAGTACCGCCACGACAGTCGGCGGAATGTGCTGGAGTGGTGCTTGCCTGTGATCGATGCCAAAAACAAGAGCGGCAGCCTGGAGTTCAGCATCGTCGGCCAGCCCAATGACTTCTTCCCTGTGCACGTTTCCTTCGTTTCCAAGAAGAACTACTGCAACATCCAGGTGAGCCTGGAAGGAACAAAGAGGGCAGGCGGGCAGGCTTCCTGTGGTGGGGTTTTCCTTCTTGGCTTTGGGGGGGTGAGAACCTGGGCCCTCTTGCGTGTCCCCCCCCCCCAGGGTTGCCCTTCTTTCTGCGGCTGGAAGGGGCTGCTTTCTGGATCTCTGTGACCTTTTGATCTCTTTCTGCAGGTTACCAAAGTGACCCAGGTTGATGGAAACACCCCGGTGAGGTTCTCCAAAGAGACCACCTTCCTTGTGGACAAGTACGAGATCCTGTAATCCTTGCATCGGGGGAACAGCAAGCAAGACCGAGGCTGTGGCCTCTTGGGAGGGGCTTGTCCAGCCTTCCTGTGTTGGGAGACCCAGACCTGTTAGTTTGCCTCTTCTGGCATTTTGAGGGCACAGTCCGTCAGGCAGGGAGAGACTACTTGCTTCTCTAGCAGAGCTGGCTTGGCCAGGCAGGCTCCTCCTGGATGGATCCTGAGGCATGCTGCACCTGTGCTTCGATTGATTCCCCCCCCCGACCCCCAGGGTCTCCCCCATTGTTATTGGTCACTGACATTGACAAGAGTGGAGGTGTTGCCCCTGGCCTCAGTTACCCGAAAAGGCCAGTGTGAGGCCCTAGAAAGCTCCACCGTGGCAGGGGAACCAAGGCAGGCCAGTCCCTTTCCAGAATCTGATGCTGGCACTCCCTTTATTTTTTAATTCCAAGGACCCTTTGCCAGTCATTTGGCCTTTGAGGGATGGAAGGTGTGGGGGACATTTTGGCACCTGGGCAGCTCCTTGTCGTCCAGTTCCGGGCTCTCGCCTGAAAGCTCTTTCTTTGGCTTTTTTGAAACTCCCACCTGTCCAGGGGAGTGGCTACCCGTGTTCTCTGCCCCTTTCCAATCCCTGTGAGGGGTGGGGTGTGGGAGCAGTCCATGGCCCTTGGTTGTGCCCACCTGCTAAAGAAGTCACCAGCCTCTCCTACCTTGCCTCATTTGCTGATGTGAGTCTTTTCAAAGTATCCGGGGGATGTGCGACTAATTGTATCATAGGTAGTAGTGGGGAATTGTACTGATGCAGCTGCATTCAAGAGTTGTCTGATTTTTAAAATGGAGTTTAGTTCTACCATCCAATGAGCGGTCTTTCTTTGTCAAATCACATGGGGGGATATTAAAAGAACGTTTTGTATCCCTGTAAGATAATAAGTTTAGGCCTTATAACACATTCCAGTGTACACAAGGAGTCCTGCCCCTGAATCCAATAAAGAGAATTCTAAAAGGAGGTGTGTGGAGCTCTTGAGTGATGAGGTGGTGGTGGCAGGGGCTTGATCCTGGACCTAGTCCTGTAAGGAGGAGAGACACGACAGCTGCCCCAGAGAATGTGAGGCGTTTCCACAGGGCTCTTGCTGACCACTGAGCTCTGGGGCGGAGTGGAGCCTGCCCTGAGTGTCACTCCACTGAAACCAGGGATGGCTGGAACCGGTGGGGAGGGGAGAAGGCAGGAAATCGCAGACGAAAATTGCCTGCCCAGCTTCTGCGAGGGATGGTGCCGGGCAGCCTCCCAGCCTCAAGCAGAGACTTCAGAAGCTCGGGACATCTGCTGGTCTCCTGGGCTTAGTCTCAAGGGAAGCACAGAGGTTGTTTCAGAATGCTGTGTCTTTGGAACATCCATCTTTTTTTTAAACACCACTTTTCCAGCTCTGGATTTGCGGAGGCTGCTGTTCATAAAAGATTCTGTTTCTCTATCAAAGGACAGGATACAGGAGTCTCTGTGTGGGGTTTGTGCTTCTTTTTATTCACTGAGCCAGTGTTCTGTGTCCCGGGTTCGTTGTTTCTCTCGTGAAAACTGGCTGGGAGGAGAAGGGGTGGGGCTGCCCTGGGAGCCAGCCACGCAGCCGCTGGGGCCAGAGGTCGCCTTGGCAGAACCAAGGTCTCCCTGGTTAAAGACAGCTGCATATGCAGACGTGTGGCCTCTTGCAAGCACAGGCACCATTCCCTGGAAGTTAGTGGTAGCCTCTTCTGGGGTGGCCATGGGGAAGCTGCTCTGCACCTTGGTGAGGGCCTTCATCCTAGCAAACTGCTGGGCACGGCTGGTTCTGTGTTGCCCCTCGTGGACTATAGACTTCTCCCGCTTTAGCTGTCGTGGGAGCAGCCATTGGCCAGCCTGCTTTGGCCCCGTAAAGACCAAGGAGTGATGGGAACCATTCTTTATAGCCAAGGAGAAGCTTTGGCCTTAGGAAGGTGTCCTCTGGCGCAGTTGGGACATGGATTCTCGCACAGAGCCACTAGCTGACTGTCCGTTATGCCAGTGCTTAGAGATTCCTCTTCTGCCTGACCTGTGCTCCGTGTGGGTGCCTGGCCCTCCTTGTGCAGGCTTCCGCTCCACCTCCAGCCTGGATGAGCAGCCTTGGCCTCTTGGCTCACCAGCATCAGAGGATGGGAAAGGCTGAGGCCAGCACCTCCCTGGCATCATCCAGTCGAGCAACAGCCCAAGCCGTCTGGGAGAGGGGCATGACTTGGACTTTGAAACCTCCCAAGGCAGCAGAAGGCCATGGCAGACTCTGCGCTCATTGGAATACCTTCCGCCCTTGCCTCCGCTCTCCGCTGGGCCCAGGGGCCCACCCAGGCCCCCTCAAGAGCTGCAGCTGCTGACCTTGTGTTGGAACGTTGCTTCCTGGTAGCAAAGATGAAGAGATTCATGGGGCGGGCTGGGGGGGGGAGGCAGAGTCAGGATGGCTTCCAGAGTTTGCTCTGGGTCTTTCTGTGTAAAGTGGACTGAAGGAGCAGGGAAAGCAAAAGAGGCCCATGAACTCCCCCTCCTCCCCGAAATCCTTTCCGGGTGATGTAATGTTGAGCTCTCGTTAGGCTGGTCCCCTGTGAGCAAATTTGTTTTAGTTGGAGAGCATTCTGGTGGCCTGTTCCATGGGCTCTTTCTTGAAAGAGACTGTGCTCTGAGTGGGGGGTTGGTCTTCTGCTTGCATCAGGGAAGCTGGCCAGTGGGTGGGTGGGTTTCTTGCCCCAGTGAGCATCACCTTTGGCACCTTCTGCAGCTGGCCTGCCTCAGCTGTGTCTGTGCAGAGGCTTTTCTGCAACTACTCTTCCTGCAAGCAAACAAGGATTGGCTTTTGCAGGAGAAAGAAGGGCAGCCTCTCAGAGGTGGTGTGTGTGTGTGTGGTTTTATTCAATATAGTTGCTGCCTTGTCCCCTCCTGGAAGTCTTGCGGAGGCGGCTTGGTGTCCTCTGCCTCTGGAAACCCCCGGCCTTTTATGGAGCCTGTTGTGCAACACAGGGCAGGGGTTGATGGGATTCCAGATGTTGATGTATCCAGCTTCCCACGTTCCCAGATTGTGGAAGAAGGGTGTGTGTGTGTGTTGTGCTGAAAGTCTGCAACTTTCTTCTTGAGCTGTAATTCCCTGCAGGTGGATCTGCACCTGTGTGTGAAGACCAGACAGGTGGGCCCTTGTGCCATCTCTGGGCCCATAGTGTGTCTCTGTTCATTGCCCAGAATCTTCTTGAGGTGGTCAGATTCCCCCACCATGTGACTCGGGACAGGAAGCTGGCTAAGAGAAAAGCTCTGGGTTGTCTCAGGCTCAGCCTCTTGGCGCCCTCCATTTTTCACCCCTCCCACTGATGTTTTCCCAGCGACTGCCTTTCTGAATCAAGCCAGGTGGGACCACAGGCTGGGCAGAGTTTATGGGCTCTGGGCAGCCCTCTCCCCTCTCCAGGAAGGAACCCTCTCTGGCCTTGTGCATCGTCTCCCTCCGTCTTGATAGCAGAGATCCATTAAAAGCCCTGTGGAGCCTGGATCTTCTCCGTGTGGTGGAAAAGAAAAAAACAGGCAGCTAAATGACTAGGACAGGTGAGAGCCACGGGCTGTGTTCCTTCCAGCGGAAGAGCCGCCCTGCTGGTTCAAAGCTAACTGCATGTGGGAGAAGCACCTCTCTCTCCAGCCCACTGCCCTGCCCTGTTTCCAAGAGCAGCCAGCCAGATCCGCCTCTGGGAAGCCTGGAATGAGGGAGAGCAACCACACAGCTCTTGGGATTCCCTCTGGAAGGCTACGGGCCCCTGGGGTGAATAATATCAATTTTTAAAGGATTCCCTCTGGAAGGCTACGGGCCCCTGAGGTGAATAATATCAATTTTTAAAGACCATCCAGTCAATTCTCACTTATGGTGACTTTCCAGGATTCTCTAGGCAGCCTCGGACTGAGGCTGAACCCAGGTGGCCCAGACATCACTTGTTTGGTCCGTGCACTTGTAATCTCCAGATTAGACTACTGTAATGCGCTCTACGTGGGGCTGCCTTTGAGACTGATGCAGAAACTTCAGATAGTGCAGAATATGGCAGCCAGACTTCTTACAGGGGTGAAAAGGTACCACCATATCTCCCCCAGTCTGGTCGACTTGCATTGACTGCCCATTTGTTTCTGCATTGATTTCAAAGTCCTAACAATGACATATAAAGCCCTAAATGGTTTAGGATCTCGCTATCTGGCAGAGTGCCTTCTCCCACCCAGTTCCGCCAGAGTCACTCGTTCTAGCCAGGCTGGGCGGCTGAGGGGCCTAACGCCGAGGGAGATCCGGAAGGAAAGAATGAGCAACATGGCCTTATCGGCAGTGGCCCCTTGCCTCTGGAATAACTTGCCTGAACCGGGGCCCTGCTTGCCCTGCTGGATCGCTCCTCATGCCGCCCTCCAGGGATCATCGGGAGCGGGGAGAGGCGACAGGTCAAGGTGTTTGGCGTCCGGCGTCCCAAGAGGAGGGGTCCGCCCCATCCTGAGGGGCCGCGCCACCGCCAAGGTTGGCTGTGGGGGCGGGCACATCCTGCCAGGGCCCGGGGCCTTCCCCTCGGCTGCCCTCCGGGCCCGACCCCCTCCGCTCTCAGGGAGGCCAACGTCTTTTCCGGTGGCCGGACGGCTCCGGTGACAGGCAGGGCCTCTCCGGTTTCCAGGGGCTGCCTCCTCGCCGGCCCAGGGCCCCATCGGGCAGAGAGGGGCGGGCGGGCGGGCGGGCGAGCGAGCATCCATCCAGCCGGTGGCA